CATGTCTCTCTGGACGGGCAGGGGTTTGGAGTCACATCAGCCTCACTTAGGGATGGAAAGTGACTGAGACTCAGTAAGTTTAAATGCTGCTGGTCACGGTGACAGTGGAAGGGAAGGTGCTGGAAAATATGCCACCTGCCTGCTCATATTCCATTGTCCCAAGCAGGTTATTCAAACTACGCCCAAATTTGGGAAGTACTTCTCTCCTCTTCCCCACAGGCAGTCCCCACTGATTTTGTGACTTGCTTTGACCAATGCAGTGTAAGTGGCAGTGACAGCACGCAGGCCCCAAGCAAAGACTTTAGGAAGCATCTCATGCTTATACTCTTTCTTTTTTACTTATACCATCCAGAAAAGAGGAGTCTTTGGCTTCTTTTTTCAGAGTTCTGGTGTGAGAGAGATGTGATGCTGAACTAGGGCTTGAAGTGGAGCCATAGCTGGGTCTTCCCAAATCATGGGCCCGTGAACAAGAATGTGTGTTGTTATCAGTCAGGATGATTCAGGGTTGTTTGTTATTGAAGCAAAAGCTGGCTAACATACTTGTTATGTACTTAGAAGAGGGGGGAAACCCAGAAATTGGTGAATACCCCAAATGAGTACTTCATTGCTTTTTAAGGGAAGAACTGATGTGATCATTGTAGAAAATTTTCAGGTAATAAGTGTAGAAGGAATGACACCAGGAGAAATCCCCATTCTGCTGTCCTGAAATAATAGATTCAGGCAAGAATTCTCAAAGAAGTTTTGGAACCATTAAGAGAAGATTGTTAGGAAACAGAATATTTGGATGAGGCCTAAGTAGCACTGAATAGATTATTTGTTCTTTAAAAAGGGTTAAGTGTTCTTTAAAATGGAATTATCATCCTCAAAGTATGCCTCACCGACAGTGGACAGCTGGACGTTGTGTGTATCCTAATGTAATGGGAAATGAAGTAACAGCCTTTGAAACACCCTGACCTAAAATGTTTCATCTGTGTTTAATCAAGACCTTGGCTCAGATTCCCAATGCAAAAGGAATACAAGAGACATAGGTTTGTTTTACTGGGAAAAACAACAAATTAAGAATGTGGTAATTGGGAGGCACCTGTGGCTCAGTGGGTAGGGTGCTGACCCCATATACTGAGGGTGGTGGGTTCAAACCTGGCCCCAGCCAAACTGCAACAAAAAATAGCTGGGCTCTGTGGCGGGTTCCTGTGGTCCCAGCTACTTGGGAAGCTGAGGCAGGAGAATTGCCTGAGCCCAGGAGTTGGAGGTTGCTGTGAGCTGTGATGCCACAGCACTCTACCAAGGGGTCAAAGTGAGACTCTTAAAAAAAAAAAAGTGATAATTGTTTGAGACTCTTTAAAATGTCTACTTTAAAATGCCATGGGGATTAAAATAAAAAGTGTTGTGTTTTGTTCCATTCTGGTTTAAAATTAATAAAAGATATACATTTAAACAACTAAGTGCAGTAAATAAGCTTTGATTGGATTTTAGTTTGAAAGAGCTGACAGAAACGCTTTTGTTGCTCAGTTTGAAAAATTTTAGTGTGGCCTGGGTATTGGATAATAGCAGTGTATTTTTGATAATATTTGTGGTATGATAAAGGTATCAAGGCTATATAAGAGATCTTTCTTAATGTTGGATATGTATGTTGATGTATTTAGTGCCTCCAAATCACACCTAACCCAGTTTCAAATGGTTTAGTAATAGATTTATACATATACCCACGGATTATTTGCAATTAAGGCCAAAATTGAAGTTTCTTGAGTCTAAGTGAGGGGTATCTGAGCATCTATTATCTTATTCTTTCAAATTTAAATTTGACTTTTTGGTAATAAAAAGCTGGAGATAAAATGGAGCAGGGCTTTGCAAGGGGCAGGGAGGAGGGTGTGTGTGTGTGAAGTTCAAACCTGTCTGGATATGCCAGCCTCACCCAGAAGTCTAGCAAGATAAACTTTGCCTCGGTGGGTTTTCTCGTCTTGCTTTT